AGAAGAAGAAGAAGAAGAAGAAGAAGAAGAAGAAATCCCCCTTCTCTCTCCAATCGTATTCTTCTTGCGAATAATCATAATAGCAACGAGTGGATAAACCAGAATCAATATTCGAAGTTCCCTCTTACTACTAGCACAACCATAGGTCCACCATAGCCATGTTTTCCCCCTTTTTCCTCCTCTCACAAGCCAAGGCTATGGCGGACTACTAGGGGCTCTACCCTCTTGTGCAAAGGACAACACAAAGCAGCTATGTCGCTGCTCATCAGGCCGACATGCCTGAGTCTGCCTCAAGCTTCCTTGGTGCGGCACTACCCCAACTGGGGCCTTTAAGATGCAGATCCTATCAAGGTGATGAAGATGGTGCCCACCATAGCCAAGTAGGTACCTCGCCACTCTCCTCCTTTGCCCCCTTCTTCCTCCTCCTCAGGCTGGGCTGCTTGCCATAGCCAGGCTGAGCGCCCGACTGCTCTCCTTCCTCCAAGCAGCGCTCCAAGTCCAGCGCTTGGATCCAGCAGTATGTCGCCAATCCTTGCACACCACAAATGAGGAGCAGCTACTTGCTCCTCCTGAAGATATAGCGGCCTACTTGCCTCTTGGGCAGTGACTTCCTAGGCCGCACGGCCTCCCAGCAACTGGTACCTCCTTTCTTTTGGAGAGAAACATCATTGCAGGCCCTGATATTGTCCGTACAGGCCCTAGACTCAGGCTACTTGGACTGATACTGACCTACCTCTAGCGTACCGCTACTGGGCCTCTAAAAATGCCAACTTTTTGTCTTCTGCTCGGCCTGGAGTACCCGACACTTCTACCACTACTTGAGTGGTACCGGCCTACCTGCTACTTGAGTGTTTTTTCCGCTGCTCTAAGTGTGGTGGGCCTACCCCCGCTACTAGAGTGTTTTTCCCACTACAACCCTCAAAGTCACGGCCACGGGTAAGTACCGGCCCTGCAGGGCCTCCAAACCAACAAGTACCCTTGCGGGTCACACACACACTCAAGCCGACAATCACTCAGACAGGCACACATACACAGAGACTTAGAAATCACAGCAGAATGCGGGAATCTCAGCAAGGCATACGTTCCAGCAGCAAATCCCAGAAATCAGCAGTGTTCTCAGTCTGTGTTTTGGTGGGTCATTACACTACCTCCCTCTCAAGAGTGAGGTCCCTTCGAGGGAGTAAGTCATGCAGAGTCGGCACAAAATGCGTCGTAGGCGTAGATCAACTCAGAAGCACGGAGGAGAAGGCAGAGTTCCCGGCCAGCAGAAGGACTAGCTTCGTCACAGGTCGCATAATGTTGGAGGGCGTAATCCGATTTTGCATCTTCAGTGGCTTCTTTTACCTTTCTTGCTTTTTATCATTTATCTGACAGGTCATACAGTAGACCTGAGAGGAAAGGAGGAAGGCAAGCTGACAGTCAATCCTCCACGTTGTTGGAGTAATCAATGCTGGTCAGGGATCCTTCGGCCGGACGGAAGGAAGCGTGAATGGGTTTCATGATGTAATGTTTTATTCTGACTTGCCGGTGGAATAGGAACCGGACTGATGCTCCCCAGAATGGAAATGGAGCCGGACACATAAGGACCTGTTTAAAATTAAAAAAAAAAAAAAAAAAAAAAAAAAGAGGTTCGATATGCAGCCTGTCCATCGCCTATCTTGTTCATAAGCTTTAATAACACGGGAAGCGTTCTTTAGCAACTCTTTTCGATTGATCCAATAGAACTCGCTCAACAGGTGATAGAGGAAGTGAACTTTGTATTTTCTGTTCTTCCTTTTCCTTCATGGGAAACAATTCTGTCTTATTTTGTGGCGACCATTGATAGAACGAGGAATCATAGGATCTTGGAAGGGAAAAGTCTCATCATCAATGTGGGGAAACAGTTTGGATGCGTGAAAGACTGGATACGTACGCAGATGAGGTGGTACAGCGATCATGTACGAACGACCATAGTACAATGGAAGAAGCTTTCGTGATACTCCCTCTTCTTCGGAAAATTCAGACATCTTGATCAAGACATAACTTCCTACTTCGAAATTCCCTTCTTCGTGCGACTTGTTAGCATGTTTGATCATGGCATGCTGGTGCTTGTTCATCGCTGCGATAGCACCTTTGAGCAAGCGCGCATACTTGGCATCGTAGCCAGGCATGCCAGGCGTCAGACCGGGTGACCAATTGGGGAGCAGATAGGAGAGAGGATTGCGCAGCTGCCAACCGTATTGCAGTTGGTTCGGTGTCACGCGAGTTGCAGAGTGAATGAAGTTGTTATACAACCCCTTCACTTTGTGTAACTCCTTGCCCCACAAGTTCTGATCAGGAACAATTAATGTGCGAAGCAGTTGAATGACGGTCTGGTTGATTTCCTTGGCCAACCCATTAGCTTCGGGGTGTCAACCAGAAGTCATGTTGAGTTTAATGCCGTGGATTTGCGAGGTGAAGTCCTTCCAATCAGTACTAATGAACCTGGTGTCCCGATCACTCACAAGAGTTTTCGGGGGGGCATACTGCAAAATTCACTGCTGGTGAAATTCTTCAATCACAAGCTCAGTTGGTGCAGGGGTAAAAAAAATATGAAACACATTTGAAAAAGAAATGCAGCTGTAATGAAAAAGCCGGGGTACGATGCACAAACTGGAAGGAACCAGGGGAGCTCGTGAGTATTAAGGGCATAGCCCAAGGTACGGAATGGGCACATAATGTGAGGCCAAGCGTGTGGCATACGATATATTGTAGTTTGTAGTAGCAAGGTAGGCAGTAGGCGAAGTATCTGGATGTCAAGCAAATGGTAAGGGAACAGTGAGATAGTAATATTGAGCAGAAGGTAGGGACAACGACTGAGAAATGGATATTCAGCTAGAGTTTGGACATTGACCAGCTGGTGAGGCTGTCAGGCGGCTCTCCCCCACACCCCGCCATTTACAGAACCCACATGATGTGTGTCTGGGTGCTCCCAGTAAGCTTCGCGGCCAGCAAGTGCACCCTGCAAATGAGTCATGGTTCCGGGGGAGAGCGGCTGAAGCAACCCCCCCCTTGTGTAAGCGACTAGAGCTGCAAGGGTGGCTGTATCTGTTTCATGTCTGATATACTCTTTCTTTTCCTCTCAACTGCCTCTTATGTACCTTTGGCTTGCCGGTGATGAGCAACCGGACTGAGGCGCCCCAGAATAAATAAAAAAAAGGAAAAAGAAAAAAAGAAAAAAGAAATGCAGCACTTGCAAGACAAACAACTTTTGCCTTGGAATGATCTCGAAATTCACAACCAATTTTTTTAGTTAAAGAAAAAAAAAAAAAAAAACGGAAAAAGACATACGCTGTATGCACACGTATGTTTTGGTTGGCATATGTAATTTCTGGTGATACATACATGTACGTATATGTGTACAGGTACACAGCGTGTACAAGTACAGAGTGCTACACTGGGTATAGGATAGCTAAGCTTCTCTAGTACCTCGAACCCGGTAGGCCCAGTAGGCCCTGTCAGTCGGCCAGTCATCAGTTCATTCTACTCAGCAGCTCAGTCCCACGGAAGTCCGTGAACACTCTGGAGGCATCAAAGGTTGACCATGGCCAGAAAGTGAGGGTGCCGATCCAGAGAAGTCCAAAATCGGGAACTGCAGCATCGATACAAAAGCCCAACAGCAGCAAGGTGTCAAGTTGTCAACACAATTTCCCATTTGAGCCTGTCGTGGAAGCGCTGTTGTGATCTTATGTAGTCGACATCGATTCATGCTGGAAGTAGAGAGTAGTCTACTTGATGGAGCCCGATGCCATAGCGTAGCTTGAGTGAGAGGGAGAGAGTGAACAGAGAGGAAGACAGTCAGAGAGAGAGAAAGAGAGGCCTAAGGGTAGGACATGTGAGCGAGAGAGCAACCTGGTTGTTGTTGTCGAGGTGCGGCTATGGCTGCCGGATTCCATGCATGCATCCTGTTGGATAAGACATTGACTTCCTGGCATCTTTCAGAGCTCTCATATCTTATGCGCTGGTTCATCTTGTGCGGGAGTAGGGTGTGCAAACATGTGATTCAGAAGTGGATGCTGTGTGTGTGATTCATGAGCTAATTGTAGATACTTTTGCTGCCAGGAAGAAATGGGATGAAGGGCTTCATCCCACCGCTCGCCAAATATGTGAAGAATGCTGTGTACCTTGAAATAGGTGGTGGCAACATTCATTCACCACGTTTTTCGTTCGTTGAGTGTCAGAACAGGGCCCAAAGTCCGACAACTTGTAGATACAGACTGGTAGTCAGAGAGTTAACAATCAAAGTCCAGTGGATAACAAAAGGGAAGAGAAGTTATATAGCTGGTATGCATGAAGGCCCGCTGAGAGAAAGGAAAAGAGAAGATGAAACAAGTTTTCATTTCCTAGGCCGAGGAAAAATAAAGAGGGATGTGGAAGTACGTGAACAGAGGTTCAACCAACAAAACTCAAAGACATGAAGCTGGGAGAAGTTGTGGCTGGGCCCTGACTTCAAGGAGTAGGGGAGTAATTGGGGTTACAGGCACAATGCAAATAGCACAGGGATTAAGGGACTGGGAGGGTTATATACAGGGTCAAGGGAGTATATTGAGAGTCGTAGGGAGGGGCAAGGGAGTGTCAGTAAGAACACCTCTGTTGGAGATGTTAGGGGGAATAATTTTTGGCGGGGTTGCATTTGGGGACCTTGATAATTGGTTTGGGGCCCTGTGGCTGGAAGGGCAGGTGCGGGACCAGGGCCCCCTTGCCCACGGCACGTATAATGAGTGTCAGGGTACAGAGGTCTGTTTCTTCGCCGCTATATGTGGCCCAGGGCTGGGGTAGCGGGAGGCCTCCACAACCCGCTCCCCCGGAGAGTGTCTCGGGCCACAAAGGGGGTGGGCCTTTCTCTACTTGCCTGTGAATTGGAACTTTGCTTGCTGGTGATGAGTAACCCGACTGTTGTCCCCCAGAGTAGAAGGGTTGTGTTGTTTGGTTCAAAAAAAAAAAAAAAAAAAAAAAAAAGAAAGAAGGAAGTACGTGCTCACCATGATAGCATCACTTGCTGTCATGCTCCCTCCCTGAATACCTTGATTTCATTTGTTGATCTTTAAACTCAGACGAGCAGAACTGCTTCCCTGGAGTAAGGGCTGCTTCAGCGAATGATGCGCTGACATCTGGAATTTGTGAGCCAAATTTAGACCGCCATCTTCTGAATCATTTCCAGCTTGTGAATCTCCGATATAACCATCTGCTCCCTGCTGACAAGTATGGTCTATCTCACAGTACCCTACTTCCGAAGTCTCCACATCCCTTTCCTTCATCCTTTCAGCTTCCTCCTGCTCTGCTTCCATCTTTTGCAAAGCTTTTCGGCCATACAGCATTATGCCAATTGTAACCGCAACAACAGCTATCAAAGCAACTCCCTGTGCAACTAGCTCAATCTTGCTGCGCTTATGTTCATGATGTCCGTAATCTGACAAACTCTTTAGCAATACCCCACTGCACACAAGGACAAGCGAGGCATTCAAGTTTGATGACTCGGTCAGAATAATGGGACGCCAATTGCCCCATTCCATTAGGATTGGAAGACGCGAAGGTCGCTGCAATTTTTCCCACATAAACGCAGAGCTGTCAAACACGGGAAGGTTCCCCACCCCCACCTTTCCCTTGCAATGACTCCATTTTTCCCTTGAGAAAGATAGGAGTATTAGTGGGACGTAAAGTAGGGTTACTTGAACTTATTTCCAAGTTTGCAAGGGTGCACATGCTTGGACTTACACGTGGGCAACCAGCGCTTCAGCATAGCAGAATCTGGATGGCCCATTGTTGCATACCATCACGGTGCAGACCAGACCAAGAACCGATCTTTCTCGCCAGATACAAGATAGCACAGCGGAAGGCTCAAATACCACTGATCCGATCAATCAAGCTGCCATGCAGACCAAACATACATCATCATCATTTCATGGTGTGAAGGGGCTGACACTCACACAGGAAGAATGCGTCAGTCCCCTGATCATGCACAGACGAAGAAGAGGGGGATTAGACGAGGGGGAGGGGGAAGATGGAAATGTCGTCAACACCA